CAGAAGTTATCATTAACATAAAAAAGAGAAAGCTTGGATACTTAGGCCACCTGATGAGAGGACAAAAGTACACATTCCTACAAAATATAATGTAAGGAAAAATCCAAGGACGCAGAAATCCAGGCCGTAGAAGAATGTCCTGGATGAGAAATTTAAGAGAGTGGTTTGGCTGTACCACTAACGAATTATTCAAAACAGCAGTTAATAAAATTAGAATCGTCGTAATGATATCCAATCTCCGATAGGAGGGGCTCTCAAAGAAGAAGGTTAAAGAATTCTTCAGCCGATTTGGTATTCACTTTGAGATCCACGAGCAAGCCTTTTTTCAAAATGTTTGTAAGTTGATTCATGTCAATAAAACCAGAGCGACATCCCTGCATCCTCATTTTTTTTTATTATCAGGAATATTGACAGCGAAAGATGGATTATATCAATTTTCTGCGGCAAAAAGATTCTTTTTCTAATACCATCTCTCTCTCTTTCTCCACACACACACTAAAATAATTTAATCTATTCTTCAACTAAAAGTACGAATAAAATAGTGCATATTATGTCTCCAGTTGCCGTAAATAAATTAAACCGGGATAATTTGTCTTGCACACCAGATAAAATGTCACTGACAGAGTGGGCATTCTGATTGTTCATTATTCTGTGCCATAACCAGAGAACTACGAACGCATGTGTTCGTATGTTCTCTGGCCATAACCATCGAGCAAAAAGACAAAAGAGGGAATGTAAAGGTAGTGGGGGCAAACATATTATTAGACAGGAAGTGCGATCTTTAGAGGCCACATTAAACAAGGAAAGAGAGTCTCTCTCCTTATTTGACATCAAATTTAGTTGGGTTATGTTATTGTTTGTCCCAAATGTCACATGAAATCTTATTTATATTGAAGTTTTTTAACAATTGTGTCGCATTTTAGACTCTTATAATTAATAATTAATTAAAACTTTCTCGTCTAAGACACGTTTTGAAAAATATTATATAGCTACTGTTGATAAGTGTCGAAAAATTTAAATTTGGCGCATTCGCATTTCCAGATATGTCCGCCATCAGAGGCCACTTTTTTGGTCTCCTTTTCATAAGCATTAGATTCCCATTTTGTCTTATTGCTCGATGGCCATAACCAATGACGTATAATATATAGACTCGGTGAACGCTTTAAAAAGTGTCCAAAAGATGAAAACCTTTGTTATTGTTTATTGTTTTGATACGAAGATGCACGAAGTTCATGATTTCTTACGAAGCATCACGAAGTTGATCTTGTGTTTGAAAACATCATGGACGTATGAAAACATTTTCTCCATTTTGTGTGACGAGCAAATTTTATTTTAAATTGTTGAGAGTTATTTACTTACTATTTTAGTAAAATGCTATACTATTTTATCAAAATAATTAGTTCTCTTATAGACGGGAACAAAAAGAAATCATAAATATTTAATTTTAATTAAAAAAATAATTATTGTCATTAACATATAAATGAGCACGCCGCTGTTCTGATAAACATACCTTCAACCTTGAGCCGAGATCTTTCGGACACTCGATTCTATAGCGAGAATAGGGGACTGCGTAGTCTATATATTATAGGTACGTCATTGGCATCGAGTAAAAAGATAAAAGAGGGAATCTAATCCTTATTAAAAGGAGACCAAAAAAGTGGCCTCTGATGGCGGACATATCCGGAAATGAGAATGAGCCAAATTTAAATTTTCTGACACTTATTAGCAGTAGCTATATAATATTTTTCAGAATGTGTCTTAGACGAGAAAGTTTTAATTATTAACGGTAATAGTCTAAAATACGACACAATTAATAAAAAACTTCAATATAAATAAGATTTCATGTGACATTTGGGACAAACAATAACATAACCCAACTAAATTTGATGTCAAACAAGGAGTGAGACTCTCTTTCCTTGTTTAATGTGGCCTCTAAAGATCGCACTTCCTGTCTAACAATATTTTTGCCCCCACTACCTTTACATTCCCTCTATTGTCTTTTTGCTCGATGGTCATTGGCCATAACCCTACCTTATGTTCAGAGGTTAACCGGCCTCCTGGTGACAGCTATGCTGACTGGTTACTGTCATTGGTCATATAAAACAGGTGCCAATCAGTGATTCCAATTTAATATGTTATCATATTAATAGTTGAACTAGTTCGTGCTTACTTGTTATTGACATATATGACGTATGATAATTATATATGTTATAGACGTATGCTATCACAGAAGAAATTGCGAGACTGCGAAATAAGCGTTTAAATCTCTAAAACGAATATACCCTAAAAATGATATATAAAGTAACCAAAGAAGAGGCAAAGTAAAATTTTAATAATATTACATCATGTACTATGAATGACAGTTAAGTTGGCGAGGCGTACAAACCCAAAATTGAAGTCCGTTTAGGTGGTGGTCATCAATCTCATTCCTGCAATCAGGTGCGTAACACGAAAGTGATGTGCGCCTGTTATTTTTCAGACTTATTATTAATTTGGATAAAGTGGAAAGTAATAGACTGATTAATTCTATTATTAATGGAAAATCAGGTGAAATCATATTTTATGTGTTGAATTATTGCAAATATAAGCCTCAGAGACAAAATTCCTAACACCGAAATACGTCGAAGAACTAAAGTAACCGACATCATGGGAAAAATAACGACATTGAGATGGCAATGGGTAGCACATGTAGCAAGACAAGACACCAACAGATGGTCTCATAAAGTGACATTCTGGAGACCTCGAGAAACAAAAAGAAGCGTGGGAAGACCTAAAAAGAGATGGATAGACGATATAACTGCTGTAGCTGGAAACCAGTGGATGAGAATTGCAAAAGATAGGGAAGCGTGGAAGCAATTGGAGGAGACCTATGTCCAACATTGGATAAATGAAGGCTGAAGAAGAATTATTTCAAAAATATTAAGCTAGAATCAAATACCTTGAAAAGTGAAAGACACAACAACTAAAGGAATAGGTAAGTTTGTACAATAAATAAATTATTATTAATTTGCTATCAAATGAACTGAAAGTAATGGAGAGTTTTAACTTTGTCTTTATCTTTTATTAGTTGTATCTGTTTAATTCATTCTCTTATAGTTGTATAACGTGCCTTCGTGGTTTTATGATATGGCAATGCTTTTTAAATAATTACTTTTAGAAAGATTTGTAAAATGATAATTGTATGACACCGGTCTTAATCCCGATAATTGAGACATTTTTTAAATATATGTACTTAAATTATTACAGTTAGCATATGAATATATTGTGTACTGTCTTTCGGTAGGACAGTAAATATAGACTTTTTTATAGCTACATACTAGATAACATGAATCAATACAGATACTAACTCTTCTACAGGAATTTCCATCAGAACAATCGAAAGGATAACAAGCGAGGCAAAAGTCCAGGCAAAAAACGAGTCAGGAGATCAACCATAGATTTGTCGGATTTCGGAATACCAAATAAGAGATATTCGCAGAATAATATACGAATTTTATAAGACAGACAAATGTTGGGTTACGGTAACAAAATTAAGACAAAACATTCACAGCAATTTGGATATTACAATTTAACAGACATTCTAAGGCGACTTCTACGCAAAATAAAATTTCGTTGGAGGAGAACCGAAAAGTGCTTACAGAACAAAGTGAAATACAAGCTTTGAGAATAAAATATATCAAGCAAATCAAACATTTTCGGAGTCAAAATAGGCCAATTGTGTATGTTGACGAGACATATGAATCAACAAAGGGATTATTTTCTAATATTTCCAAAAGTTAACGATTAATAATAGTGCATGCCGGCTTTGACATGAGATCCATTATAAATAGAATATTAACATTTAGGTCAAGTACAAAATCAGAAGATTACCACTCTGAAGTTAATGCAGATAATTATGGAAAGTGGTTGCAAGAGCATTTAATACCTAATTGTACATGCTAACTCGGTACTAGTTTTTGATAATGCATCTTAGCATCTGACGTACAAAAACTCGCTGAGAAAGAGTTAAATAGAATTGATGCAAATGAGTGAAGAAAACGATGTGACCATGTCATTAAGAAGGAAGATGAATACATGGACAGCGGAATAGTGGTTGATAACGCCATGAAAATAGCTTTGATTATTATAAATATTAATAACGACTCTTCCAGTACAGAGTTTTCTTCCGATGATGAAGTAAATATACTGTGATAACTACTGTAATGATAATTACTGTGATACATTTAGTTATACCATAGGACAATAAAACAATTGTTATTTTATTCTGTGGTTATACAATATGCTCCATTTAATTTGAAAGATAATATTAATGTAGTTTTATTTGTTTATTAAATTCTGTCATAATTATTATTGTGTTTGTATGCTAAATTAAACAGAATATTATAAACCATTGGCTTTCTATTTAAACCGACTAAAAAAATAATAACAATTTCATCTTTCTAATAATATATTAAAGCTTGCAAACAATATTACTACTTTTTTAATTGTGTAATAATTAATTGAACCACACCGTTACGCCACTGGAACTACTTATCATAAATAGTAAACCAATAGAAAAATTATAGGGCGTTAACATAATCTATTCGTCTGTGACTTTGTGCGCATTCCGTCGCCAACGTAACTGGCGTTTGCTGGATCCTAGATGAAAATAATAAGATATGAGTTCACGAATAAGGTTGAAAAAAAATATATTAAGACAGTTTATTAAATAAAGAATTTAACACAAAATCAGTTGAACTTTCTGAGTACCCTTAATGAAATTAAATTATATTTGGTATTTCTTACAATTAGTTGAAAATATACAAAAATGTCATCTGAGACACATGTAACGTAACCACAGAATAATAAACAATCAGAATGCCCACTCTCCATGGAAAATTAAGTACGCGCATCTCGTTCGCGCAGACGTTCCGCCATGTTTTAGATGGAACCAGTGTTGTTTATGTGGTGTGCATAGAAAAATTAACCCGGTTTAGATAACTTACGGCAATCATAGACATACTATACAATTAAAGTAACATTGTTAAATATAACATAAATATAATATAATTAAACATAAATATAAACAATTACATAACCTCACAAATCATATGTCTGTGTTATGTGTTTCCTTTTAAAACATGGCGCGCGTACTGAAAAACTTCAAAGGCGGCATCTGAGAGTGGGCATTCTGATTGTTTATTATTCTGTGACGTAACATTATCCGGATGATAAATACCGGAGTAGATAAAACCATCTACCGCCGTTATTGCTATCAACATAAAATTTAGAATTTGGCCTCTAAACTCATATCAACGCTGCTTTTTGTGCTTTAAATTTATATTAGATCATTGTTAAAATGTCTCGTGAGTATATTTAACGTGATTTCTTAGAGTATGGGGTCGTTTTGTTTTAAAAGAACACGCTTTGCACTTGTGCCACTGTATTTTCGATGAATCCGCATGTTTCACCATATGTTGGATGAGATTAAGTTTTCTAATAGTTTTATAGTCGCAATTGGCACAATATAATAACTCCTGTGGTATATGCTTTCTGGTATGTTGAATGAATTGGTTTTTGTTCACACTTTCATATTGACATGTATAGCATATGTATTTCTTCAATTCACCTTGCTGATGGACGCTATGCAGATGCCTAATTAGACTAGGTTTAAAGTAGTAAACTTGAGCACAAATTTCACATACATATTGTTTCTTTTCCGACTTTTGTTGAAAATGCTTGGCCTAAAAATTTTAATTTAATTAATTAATAATAATATTAAATAATAATCATTACGTAGGGACCATCGAGCAAAAAGACAATAGAGGGAATGTAAAGGTAGTGGGGGCAAACATATTGTTAGACAGGAAGTGCGATCTTTAGAGGCCACTTTAAACAAGGATAGAGAGTCTCTCTCCTTGTTTGACATCAAATTTAGTTGGGTTATGTTATTGTTTGTCCCAAATGTCACATGAAATCTTATTTATATTGAAGTTTTTTTAACAATTGTGTCGCATTTTAGACTCTTATCATTAATAATTAATTAAAACTTTCTCGTCTAAGACACATTCTGAAAAATATTATATAGCTACTGTTGATAAGTGTCGCAAAATTTAAATTTCGCGCATTCGCATTTCCGGATATGTCCGCCATCAGAGGCCACTTTTTTGGTCTCCTTTTCATAAGGATTAGATTCCCTCTTTTGTCTTATTGCTCGATGGTAGGGACATTGGCCAAATCACGGAATATGTTAGAGGAATAACAAGTAGAAAAGTAATCAGAAGAGCTGAAGAAAAAGTGGTAACTACCGCAAGACACTCACAATATAATCCAGAAAACAACACAGCACAGCAGTGCCTGGATACATTAAAACAAAAACTTTCCGTTTACTCACGCCGACTAGGGAGATACAAAATCAGTAACAAACGAAAATCCGACAGTATGCTTTTTGAAAATGCCGAGAAGATTGCCAAGTACAAAGATATGGAAATTCAAATAAGAATGACAATGAAGAATGGAAAGTATTTAGTTCCACCAGAACTCAATCCTTTTAATACCGTAGGTATGTGGGATGAGTGAATTTTCCTCTTAGTGGGAGTGTGAGCAGTATGGCTAAATCTGGATAATAATAAAAGTAAATTCAGGAGTTTTGGAGAAATCAACTTTCCACACCAGCTGATTTTAACACCAATGCTGCATGGATAGAAGCTACAGCGCACAATTGTCAACACTATCGTACTATTCTCTATGAACCCTTCACCACAGAAGAAATCTCTAATATCATCAAAGAGCTTCATAACTGTAAATCTTCTGAAGCAGACGAGGTTCAAAACTTCTGGCTTAAGAAGTTCGGGAGAGCTCATTAGTGCTTATCAATAATAATTGATCATGTTATTTTTAATCAACAGGAAATACTATCATTCCTACATAACTCAGGTAAGAATTTATTTAATACCGAAAATCCTTTTTAAAATGTATACATTTAAAAATACAATCGGGCTAATATCCCGATATCCCGAAACCATATTCCATCATCAGTGTCTAGGTGTAGATAAATGTAGCCACTAAATATGTGAATAAAAACCCGTTAAAAATTATTTAGTTAAATTTAGTTTAATTTTAGTTTTAGTTTAGTTTTAATTATTTCTTATAAAATATTAAGATGTTAATGTCGGATGTTGGAGTCATATGTCGCCATGTTACCAAATCTAACGGTAACTTTAACATCTTAATATTTTATAAGAAATAATGTAAACTAAATTTAACTAAATAATTTTTACCGGGTTTTTACCCACATATTTAGTGGCTACATTCATGTACACCTAGACAGTGATGATGGAATATGGATTCCGGAAACGTTTTGTATAACATAGCCCGATTGGGTTTTTAAATATATACCTTCTACAAAGGATTTCATAAATTAATAATATAATTACTTAAATCCATCTATTTAACCCGTTTGATAAATTTAATAATATTTAAATTATAAGAATAACTCTAAAATTAATAGTAAATAATAGCAAATCAAAATTAAAGGTTTTTTAAAATAGTTTTAAAAAGTATTTTAAAAAATACTTTTTGCGCATTTTTTCAAATACAAATTTGTTTTTTATATACAGGATTACTATCATACCAACTTTCTTATTTTAAATGAAACATTGATTATATTATAAAATTTTTGGATTCTGTACAAATTTCCCAGAACTTTGATATGTTGCATGTTATAGTTTTAATTAACTTATTTTAGGATACAGGGTGGTTAATAAATAGATCACTCTCTGCGTGTCTCCTTATGACTTTAAAAAAGGTTCTATACCTAATTTCAATAAAGAAGAGTGAGTTCATTTTCGTATCTCAATTTGTTTTTAATAATATATATAGTACTCTAAGATATGTACACTTCCGGTCATATAAAACTGGTACACTTTTTTTTCCCAATGTAAACCTGTGTTCAGACTGGACACAATGGCTCGTGAATCAATTCGTTGTTGCCTTTACAGATAGTTAACAGAATTTCAGTAAATTTAAATAAAACGTAAAAAATAACGTTCAAAAATATATAAAGTTTTTAGATAGGTATTATTTTTATTATTACCAACAAAAAACCGTATCTAATAAATTTAATAACCAGAAAGAGGATTGAGTTAATGTATAGAACACAAACTGTTAACTGTATTTTATGTCAATCAATTTAGTAATAGGCAAACTACCTAAATTTATTTATTATTTATTACATGAACGGTAAATGTGAAAAACTAACATTATACTTTGTCCTACATAGGTTATAAACTATAAAATATCTAGGGCGAAAAACGCTTTTAAAAACGTGACAGTATTACATTATCCTCTTATAACTGTAAAAAATCCTCTTATAACCATGATACTATGACTATAAGATAAGATATTGCGCCTGTTTTTGTGACGTCATTGGAGACTTGCACGTTCGAAATGTCAGTTTTTGTATATATCAATAAATAATCTTTAATAAATAGTTTGGAGATATCCTTATGTGTACGATTATTGTAATTATTAAACCTCTTAACTTATTTTCGTCTAGTAATTTCATCACAGAATGCATACAAATCTCATTTAACTTTAACAAGAATTCAAATTCTAGTCTCCAATGACGGCATGCGCGAACCCGACCGATTTTGAGCTACGGGAAGATCCTATCTTGTTATTCATAGTATCATGCTTATAACTGAAAAATGCTGGTTTAGTATCTTTAGATGTTATAAGTGCGTGAAAACGTCCCAATCATATTCGAACAATTAAACATAAAAAATATTGCTTGCCATCTGTCAGCTTTGACAAGTTTGTCAAAGTGAATTTTTAAAGATGCCACGTCAGGTAAGTCAGTTTGATAAAACGAGAATAATTTTAAAAATAGAAAAAAATTAAACATAAAAAATATTGCTTGCCCTCAGTCAGATTTGACAAATTTGTCAAAGTGAATTTTTAAAGATGCCACGTCAGTTAAGTCAGTTTGATAAAACGAGAATAATTTCAAAAATAGAAGATGGTTGGTCTATTCGACAACTGGCTCAAGAGTTAAATAAAAGCAAAGCCACAATCCACAACATTAAAAAAAGATGGGAAAACGACCAGACTTTGGATAGAAGGAGAGGGAGTGGAAGACCAGTTATTACTACAGCCCAATAGGATGAAACATTATCTAATTATTTAAGAGCGCATCCATTCCATACGGCAAGGCAAGCAAAAGTTAATACAAACTTTAATGCTTCTATAACTACAACATTAAGGAGGATTAGAAGAACAGATTTAAAAAATTGTGCAGCCGCCCGAAAATACAAATATAGCGAGGAACATAAACAAAGTAGACTCCTTTTTGCTTTAAATTACGTTTTAAACGATCCAGGTAATTTTTGGGACCGTGTAATGTTAACTGATGAAAAAGTATTCCAGTCTCATTATGATGGCCATATTACTGTTTATAGACCGCCTCGAAATAGGTTTAACGAAAACTATATTTCATCAAGTGATAAGTCCGGACGGTTCTCTATTAATGTTTGGGCTTGGATGTATAGAGGAGGTTTAGGAATGTGTTGGAGAATTGAAGGACGATTTAATACTGAAAACTATTTACATATATTAGATAATGTGATGTTGCCATCGGTTAGGGAAATTTTTCCCAACAATAATTTTATTTTCCAACATGATACCTGCTCAATCCACACAGCCCACCGTGTACGGGATTACCTTATGGAAAATAGCATTGAAGCTCTTCCATGGCCCTCTAAAAGTCCAGATATTAATCCAATAGAGAATGTTTGGGGACTTATGATCAACAAAATACAAAAATTAAATGTAGTTCCCCAAAACAAAGATCATTTATGGACCATCATTGAAGAAACCTGGGAAAGCTTGGCTGAAGATGAAAATTTGTCATTAAATTTAATTAACTCAGTTCCCAGAAGATTACAAGAAGTAATTAATAATAATGGAGCTATGACAAAATATTAACTGTTCTAATTGTAATACACATATTTAAACCCCACACTTGTTCACTGTAAAAATGATTCATTTTTTATTAATTTCAAATAAAATTTTAATTTTTTCTAGTGGGTTTTATTTACTGTAGTATTCCACAACTCAATACAGTTTTGTGCTACACTTTACGAGAAACCAATCACACCTCTCGATTTGAAATTAAACATAAATTTAAAGTCATGTCTAGATTTATTACCTATCATTATTTTTGAATTGAAATATTTTTATAAATTATAATAAAACACGAATCAATGTATGGGTACTGAGAGAATAGAAAATTTCAAAATTAATAGAATTTTTTAAGATGTATGTTTAAATAAATGTATAAATATAAATGTGACTGACTGATCGAGAATGCTCAATATGATTTTAGTTTTTAGTATACTAAAAACTTGCGTCCCGTCACACAGCTCTGCTTTTAGCTGGTTTGATATAATATTTTCGTTGAACTGGCATCGTTGCCTTCGAAATTAGAATGACACATATGACAAGCTCAACTTACACAACTTAAAAAACACGATTTTCGGTTATAAGAGTTGTACCAGTTTTTTATGACGGGAACGGTACCTATATTTTTACCAGGTGTGAAGTGGAATGTACATAAGTGTATATCTTAAAGACTATATATTTAAAAGTTAATATAGAAGGGATTGTGCCTTTAATACATTGTATATTAAAAACAGTTAAATAAAAGCATGGCAATCCAATATATTAAAGTTGGTTGAATTTTGTA